AGTAATAAAATTGATCATTTTATTGGTTTAAAAATACCGATTTTGTACTGTTCAGTGAATTTTCTTCTTTTGAAACAACTGATGATGCATTTTTTTTCTTAAAGAATCATTCCTGTAGTTGAACAGGGAGAAAATCTCTCATTCATTCTTCATTTCAAATTTTTCAATTTAGCATTTGAAATTTCCTCTGATACTTCTTTTGCAACTTCTTATGACTGTTCGGCCCCTGGTTTAATGAGAAAAAAAAAGTTGACAGAAGTTAAAGTAGTGAAAAAAGCATTTGCTTAAAAAGCGAAAGAAATTTTGTAAATTTTGTAAATTAATTCTTGACTGCTTTTGAAATTAGCGTCTTTTACGTTTTGTTTTTTTTTAAATTTTTTAATGTGTTTTTTTTTCTATCAAGTTCTTTCATTTTTTTTTTGTATGTGTCTGGGAATCGTTATTTCATCATAAGTTGACCTTAATTAATATAACAAATTACATTCAAAAATGGAATTAATTATGAAAAAGCATGAAAGTCAATTGTATGGAACCATTGAACAAAAATCTTTAATTGATAAAATTTAATCATTGGTTTTCAATAATTTCTTTCCTTTTCAGTTATTGGTAAAATTGTGTAAAAAAAAAATTTCTGTCATTTTAGACTGTTAAACCGGAAAAGAGGGAGTGATAATTGAGAAAAAAAAATTGACAATAATAGATGTAATAAAGTAAGCTGAGATAAAAAATATTTTAAATATTGCACATTTCATAAAAGTAATTTTATGAAATTATTTTTTTAATGTTTAAATATGAAAAAATTGCAATTGGTTAAAGAGATTTGTAATTAATTTATAATTTATTAATTTATACATCATATAAAGTGGTTAAAGAGATTTATAATAAATTAAAAAAAAGATTTGTTTATAATAAAAACAAAGAATTTATGATTGCCATGTTTTTATTTGCTAAAAAATTATTAGAAGAAAGTTAAACTCCTTTTTTTTTGGGTGATTTTTTTGAATGAACAACAATTAATTTTTAACAGTTAAAATTTTTCTAGATTAGTCCACGACAAGATCATTATGATAGTATATGTTATATGATGTGGTGTGGACAGTCATCATTTGGTCGAATAATTACTTCTCATCCAGCACTTGAGGGAACTTTTTGTGGTTCATCAAAATGGTGTGAACTTGGTCGATGTGTACCGTGGCCTGGTATTGGCCCAGCTGCTACACCTAAGGTTAACGATAGCTCTTGTTTGTTTTCTCTAATTCATAATTAATTAAAAATTTTTTTTTTTGATAAAATTTTATAGAAATTGGAACTCAATTTTACTTATAAAATCAATTTCATCTATATTTTAAATACCAAAATATATTTTAAATATTCAAATTACCTTCCTCTCACACATTTCTCATTGTTTCAATATTAGAATAAATTTATTTAATGTTAGGTTGGCTGATAAATGATATATAATATTCGATATTAAATGATATGGAAAAAAAATTAATTTTGTTGAGTTCGGTTTTATGTTAAAATCTTCAAAACTTTTGTTTCAGTATCATTTATCAATTTGAAATATTTTCCTATTATAGCGTATCGATGGACAATGGTCTGACTGGTCTGAAATTTCATGTCAATCATGCAAATGCTCTGATATAACTGGTAGTATAGGTATTGCAACAAGTTCTCGAAGTTGCAGTAAGCCAGCACCTGCAAATGGTGGTGCAGAATGTATGGGTGCAACATTGCGTGCAGTTATATGCAATCGTCGTTGCACATCATCAACTAAATCGATTGAGAATGTAAATTTTTTACACAGTAAAATTATTAATTGAAATTTAATTATTTTACTTCAAAAGAAAAAATTTTTTTTCTTTGAAATTTGTGCAAAGAATAAATTAATAAAGTAATGATTTGTGAAATTTTTTCTCTTTCAAATATTACAATACCATTGTAAATTTTCATTCTAAATTAAAACAAAAAAAAAAAGTCAAAATGTCAATTTTTTAATTTCATTTAAAATATTTTTTTTTTTACTCATTCGATAATTTTTTCTTTTATTTTTTGCAGCACATTAAAGAACACTGCACGCAACAGAAAAAGCTAAAAAATGATTCCGATTTAACTGGAAGTGGAACACAATTAACTCGTTATCCTCAACGTGCATGCAAGGTTTCCATTCTATGCAACTTAAATATTTTAAACGCCTAATTTTTGCTTCGAAAAGGATCACAAAAAGGTTTTTTTTTTCCAACAAAACCGATTTAGTAAGTAATAATAAAATGATCGAATGTTATGCAAATTTTATTCGCTAACAATTCAAGTTAGCATCAAAATCTTTTTTTTTTCTTTTCAAATTTGATAATTTTCTTACATATAAAATAGATTTCAATTTTTTAAAAAAAAAAACAAAAAAGAAAGATTTTTTTTTTTGTTTAGTATAGATTAACATAAAAGATTAAGTGAGGAATTTTTTTCTTAATCTTCTCTTTAGTTAGCTAGCTTTTAAATAAATGACAAATAAAAATTATCGAATTTATTTCACTAAAAATTACATTAAATTAAATGAAATCAATTTTGAATAAATTATAGTTTATTTATTAAATTTTAGGTTTTTTGTGATGTGATAAATCGTTATGGATCACAACGAAATTATCGCTTTTTTGGTAATATTCTTCCAGATGGTTCACCATGTGGCACTAATAAGTATTGCTTGGATGGCGAATGTCTTGTTAGTTTCTTTTTTTTTCTAAATTATTTAACAATTATTGCTGATAAAGAAAAAAAAAAGGATAATAATATATTGATTATTTTTAAATGAAATAAATGACTATGCGATATATTTTAGAGATAGTCTGCTAATATGATAATTTATTTGTAGCCATTATCATGTGATAAGAGTGCATTAATCACACGTGATTTATCCTGCCCTAGCACTAGCGAACGATGCCCTCAGGGAACTGTAATAACTAATACAGTATCTGCTCAATGGTCATCCTGGTCAACATGGACATTTTGCTCACAAACATGTGGTACAGGCTACAGACAGCGGTAATTTTATTAGAAAACAAATTTTTCGTCTTGTAAATTTAAGTCAATAAATACATTTTCATTCTAATAAAACTTTCACATAAATTTAATGGTTTTTCACGATTTGAATTTAAATTTATCAATATTATATTAAAATATCATTCATATTTAATAGTAAATATTTGAAATATTAGAGATTATTAAGTTCAAAATCAGATGTAAAAAATGAATACATTACCGATGATTTCTTTTT